TTTTGCTCGGAGCACTTTGTACAAATAGCGTGGCAGGTTTAGTAACATGCCGTGCCTCAAGGATTTGAGATGGGATCCGGTGCGAGATGCCTGCCTTTTTTTTTTTTCCCCTTGGTCGCCTGCAAAATCAGTCTAAGATTGAAGTCCGGGTGCCAGCACCTCTCTAGTTTTGCTGAGGGGTTGGACACTGGGTTTGTCTGGGCTGCTTTGGACCCTGGGCTGCGGCCTGGCCTGGGGTGTACATCCTCTGCAGTGCATTAGTGCAGACTGATGTACATAAAAGCCCTTCTCATGAAGGCAGTTTTGGAAGCCCTTTGGCTTTGCATTATCAGTAGCATGCAGACGTGCAGCCCCCTGCCACCAAAACCATCTCGGCCTGGCCTGGGGTGTACATCCTCTGCAGTGCATTAGTGCAGACTGATGTACATAAAAGCCCTTCTCATGAAGGCAGTTTTGGAAGCCCTTTGGCTTTGCATTATCAGTAGCAGCCCCCTGCCACCGAAACCATCTCGGGTCTTGCTGACGTCCATGCGACTGCACTGCCTTTGACTGCAAGGGTTTGCAGGGCAGGATCCCTTTGGGCTTTGATTTCCCAGAGTCCTTTAGCAAGGGCAGTGCAGGGCCGGTTGTGGGGAGGAAACCAGGCACTGGGATACCCTAGTTGCCTGGAAGGTGAACGGCATCCCGGGCTGCTTGGGTAGAAGCGTTGCCAGCACATGGAGGGCAGTGATTCTTCCCCTCTATTCAGCACTGGGGAGGCCACATCTGGAGTCCGGTGTCCAGCTGTGGGCCCCTACTACAGAAAGGATGTGGACAAGTTGGAGAGAGTCCAGAGGAGTGCTCCAGGTTTGGGACTGGGGTACATGGTTTCTGAGGGAACTGTTTTAGTCTGCAGAAGAGAAGACTGCGGGGATTGAATAGCAGCCTTCACCTCCCTGCAGCGGGGCTGCAAAGAGGATGGAGCTGGGCTGGTCTCAGTGGGGGCAGATGGCAGGACAAGGAGCAATGGGCTCAAGCTGCAGCAAGGGAAGTTGGGGTTGGATATTAGGACAAACTTTCTCACTAGGAGGGTGATGGAGCACTGGAGCAGACTCCCCAGAGAGGTGGTGGAGTCTCCATCCTTGGAGGTGTTTAAAACCTGACTGGACAAAGCCTTGTCTGGGATGATGTAGTTGGGGCTGGTCCTGCTTGGAGCAGGGGGTTGGACTAGATGTGACCTCCTGAGGTCCCTTTCTACCTTCCTTGTCTGTGATTCAGTGATAAATACATCCAAGCATCACCCAAACTCCTACGCTGGGTAGCAGGGTTTGTTCATAGTCCTCCGGCCTCTTCTCTGCCTGTCCAGGCAGGTTCCCCAGCTGACACTCCTGACCTGAGAACTTGTAAAGCAGGGATTCGCACTCAGTTCTTGCATCAGGGACAGGCCTTCTGGGGCCTCCTTTGGGGGAAAAATGCCCAAATTTGGCTAAGCGTGAGAGGTTGTGGACCCTGCTGGCAGTGGCACGACCCTGTGGTGTTGCCCTTCAGGTGTGAGGCTCTGCACCCCTGGTTGTAACGAGGCCTGGAGCATGGCCCAGGGGTGCCGTGGCTCGGACCCAGCCCGTGTCGGGAGAGGGGGCTGCTCGCACCCCTCGGGGCCATCCAGGGAATGGGCTGAGTTCCTGCAACCTCCATTGGAGGCAGCTGCAGATATCACGCGGCCTCGTTAGCCTTCTCCTACCCGGCAGGCTGCTGGTGATGCCGGTGGCCATCTGCTAGGCCAGACGCTCCAGTAACGGAGCAGCTTTTCCCTCTAGGTCACGGACCCTGACATCTTCCCCACTGATCCTTCCTGTCCCTCCTTTCTCCTCTCACTCACTCTCCTTGCCTCCCCTCCTGCAAAACAGCCTCCAGAGACGCAGAAGGGGAGCGTCGGGGCTCCGTTCATGCCTCTGCTCTGTTCACACCGATCTTGTGCGTGCACTGGTTAATCCTCATCTGCCCCTCAAACTTCGTTACCCCCCTTTAATAGGCACCGAGGTGGGAAGTGACTCACCTGCAGCAGGGAGGGGTTGAATCCACGCTCCCTGACTCCCCGGCCCAGCTGTCGGCACCCCCTGCCCCGATCTCCCCTGGCTGGACCCTGATGGGTGCTGCGCCCTCGCAGCCGCCTTTGACCTCAGCCCCTCCTGGACCCCTGGGTTGGATGGGGAAGTCCTCCAAGCGTCACTCCAAGCGGATAGCAAGGATGGGGCCTGTCTTGGGAACTGTCTGAAAATGCAAAGGGCCGGACCGCTTTCCAGCTCTCTCGGTGGGCTCGTGTCCCTCCTTCCTGGAGACCCCAAGAACGCATTGACACGCTGGGCAGGTGGGTTATCCTCCTTCTCCTCCTTGCTCCTTTTCGGCTGCAAACAGATATCATACGAACCTTGGAGCTGCCACGTGCTGGGTCAGACCCAGGCCCATCTTGCCGTGTCTCGTGTCGTGCGGAGGCTGGAGGGAGAGTGACTGGGGCTAGGCAGGTTTTCCCTTGTGTTGCAGCCTCCAGCACTGAGGTCTGCTGCAGAGGCCGTGCCCCAGAGCCCCCGATGCCCCTTTCCTCCCAGCACGTGTCCGAGCCCCGGTGAATCCTGCTGAGCTCTCAGCTCCCACGTCTGGGGGAAACGAGCTCCACCCTATAATGACTTGCTGGAGGAAACAGAACTTCCTGGTGTTAATTTTAACTTTTTACCTGCTATTTTCATGCTCTGCCCCCTTGTTCTTGTCTGACGATTACAGTCAGTCATAAATCCCTAGTGACTTTCTCTTCCCCATTCAGTGTGTTGTAAACCCTTCTCCTGACCCCCCTCAAGCATCTCTTTCCTAAACTGACCAAACCTTGGCCTCTTTCTCTCCTTATTTAAAAGCTCCTCCTCATCCTCACTGCCCTTCTCTGCACTTTCTCCAGTTCTTCTCTCTCCTTTTGGAGCTGCGGGGACCAGAAAAAGGATTTCCCCCACATTTATCTTGTCTCATTTATCCCAGGACAAAGTGCAGGCATTCAGATCTCCACCTCTGTCATCTCAGGACAAACCAAACATTTGGACGCTTATCTTGCTGGGATCCTATGACCCCAGCTGACTTCTTGCCCCTGGGGCAGGGGGCTGGCCCCGATGATCTCCCGAGATCCCTTCCAGCCCTAATGTCTATGAAATCTGTGAAACCCTAAAAAAGGTCCCCAGGATAAGAAGCACTAACGGTTTGTCCCAGGACATCATGAAGTGCATCTGGATGGGATCGATGGCAGAAAAGAGGCAGCGCATTCAAACACTCACAAAACCCTAATAAAAAGAGTGATATGTGTACTTTCCAGTCTCCAGATTTTTCTGTTCCAGGGCAAACACAGGCACAGCTTGTCCCGGGACAAATGCAGCACGTGTTGCTAGCCTTAGGCTTAAAGTTATGGTGATGGTGTAATACCAGAATAGATGCAATCGTGTTCTTTTGGATGCTGGGATGGGACTTCAGGAAACAAGGGCGTTGGACTGGAGATAGCTGTTTGGGTTGTCCAAGCAAGTCCTCTACTGTCGTAGGCTGTGACTTCACCTCCAGTGCATGTGTGTGTGTGTAATGCTGTGTGCATGGCTGAACTTGGCCACATTTATGCTTGGACCCCCCCAGGAGGGGACCTGGCTTGTAAGGTCTCCCCAGGGCAGTTTGCTGAGCCCTGAGTGTACCCAGCAGGACTTTGCCCTGGGTAGCTGTGCCCGTGCTCTGCTGTGGGGATGTCCCAGGTGTCTGGGCTCTGCTGGTTGCCCCCTTCTCCCCCTTATGCCCCATGTGTCAGGGGGGTTTTAAATCTCCTCCAGAGGCGCTGGGTGCTGCTGCAGCCCAGGCTGGGGATGGGGACTGGGCTGTGCCAATGCTCCTGCTGGCATCAACCCCACAGGGTCTTGCCCCTGCAATCAGGCTCAGCCCCATGCTGCACTGGGGCAGGAAGGGATTTCTCCCCTGCTCAGACTGGTCCGGACTGGGGGGTTTGCATTCCTCTGCAGCAGGGGCACGGCCTCGGCCTGGGGTCTCTCAAGCATCTATTAACCCCCTTTGCAGCAGCAGGATGTTGGCTGCCGCAGGCCCCCTGCATTCCCTATGGCAGGGTCGGGGTGATGTCTTGGGCTGTGTCAGGGTTGCTGGTAGTTTTACAAAGAGTGTGTTTGTCTGGGCTGGTTTGAGCTGATCCTGGCTGAGGCAGGGCTGGACCTCTGGAGCTCCCTTCCAGCCCCACGGCTCTAGGATCTCGTGACCTGAGCTGACGGGAGGATGAAGCAAGGTCAGGACATAAAGAACATTTCCTGTTGGTGGCTGGGGCTTGCTCCAGGCATCTGGGCTTGCAGGTCTTGGGCTGGGACCGCTCCTGAGTTCACCCGTATGCCCACTTGATGGGGTCTCCACTCAGACACTCCATCCATCCAGCCATCCATCCGTCCGTCTGTCTATCTTCTCCTCCTGCTGTGCTCTGCATCTGCTCCAACAGGTAGACCCCTGATAGCTGTAGTATTGGGGCTATTTGTTGTGATCTTGCCCCCATCTGTGGCTGCCTCAGACCATTTTGGGACTCTGCATCCCCCGAACCGTGATGCCCTATTGCTGCCAGCCACCCCTTGGGGTTCCCACACGTGCAGGTCTGGGATGGGGTTGGGAGCTGAGCCTGGCACAGGGCATTGTGGGGCTCCTGCCCTGTTATTGTCTGCAGCCGTGGCATCTGGGGAGCTTCCACACGCCAAGAAGTGCATTGTGGGATAGTCAGGTAGGGCCTTTTGCTTCCTTATGGCAGCAGGGGTTAGCACGGCTCCGGCTGGATGTGAGCAAAGGGCCCTTGCATACCCATCTCTGCCTGAGGCCTGATAAATTCATGACAATGCTGGGAGGAGGCAGCTGTGGCTGGGGGGTTGCTCCTGCAGCTTGGTAAGAACAAACCCCCATGGGATGCTGCCTTCCAGGGACCGAGCAACTGACTCTGCTTTCCCCCCTCTTGTACGCAGGCTACAGCGTGAAGTGCGAGTACACGGCTCACAAGGAAGGAGTCCTTAAGGAGGAGATGGTCCTCGCCAGCGAGACCAGTGACAGCACCTGCGTGAAGGTGGTGGTCCAGGCTCGGGTCATGGGTAGGTACTGGGGGATTTCGCTCGGCTCCATGTAGCGACTGCGACTCGGGTCCCCCCAGATGGACATGGATGCTCTGAGCCTCTGCTAACCCACAGCTCCTCTGTCATTGCCTGGCAGTGCCCTCGGTGCCCTGATCTCACCTGTGCCAGGCTGCGGGGTGTCCCTGGGGATCCAGTCTGGTGCCCTGCGGCTGCACGTGCGGAGTCGACGGGATTGTGCTGCATCTGTCTCTGTCCAGGCTGAGAGGCTGTGAGCAATGGCAATTGCTCCTCTCATCCTGCTCTGAGCAGTGCTGAGATCCCTGTATTGGCACCACGGTGCTAGGCTGTGAGTGCCAGTCCAGCTCCAGCTCAAGCCTTGAGAGCGGATGTGATGGTGGCCAGCTGCCCGGGGGCTCTGGGAAGGAGGTGTACACAGGTTGGGGAGGGTCCCGGGGATGCAGAAGGAAGAAGCAGCAGAGAGAGAGCTGAGCCATGCTGCAACTCCCCTCCCCATCTGCCAGCCTGCTTCACCCATCCCTTAGCCTAGCACTGCACCGTGGCTAGGCTTGCAAGGCCCCCAGGGCTGAATCCCAGGGGTGACAGTCACGGTCAATGCAGCCCTCCAGGACTGGCCACCATCTGATCCTCACCATGGAGGGTTTGTGCCCATCACCATGGGGTCAGACCCCGCGTGGCTCTGGGTATCACAGTCTGTACCTCTCTGGTGTCAGCTCAGGGAAGCAGCAAGGGTCTCAGAGTGGGGTTCCTGCCATGTCTTTATTGCATGCTAAGTGGTGGTAGCCGATGCAGAGGGGCTGGGAGTCGCAGCCCCTGTCACCCCAGTGCTCTCTCCCTTCATGCTCTCTCCAGCTGAGGCTGGTGCTACTAGGGTTTGGAGCATCTCTTGTCGGACAGTCCTGGGATAACCCACGCATCCTGGCAGTGCATCATGGAATCGGAGACAATGAGGGCTGGAAGGGATCTCAGGGGGTCACATCTAGTCCAACCTCCTGCTCCAAGCAGGACCAGCCCCAACTACATCATCCCAGCCAAGGCTTGTCTACCCAGGTCTTGGATGGAGACTCCACCACCTCTCTGGGGAGCCTGTTCCAGTGCTTCACCACCCTTTTAGTAAGAGTGTTTTTCCTAATATCCAACCTCAACTTCCCTTGCTGCAGCTCAAGCCCATTGCTCCTTGTCCTGTCATCTGCCCCTGCTGAGAACAGCCCAGCTCCATCCTCTTTGCAGCCCCCCTGCGGGGAGGTGAAGGCTGCTATTCAATCCCCCTCGGTCTTCTCTTCTGCAGACTCAGTCAGCCCATTTCCCTCAGCCTCTCAGCACCAGTCATGTCTCCCAGCCCCTAACCATTTTCATTGCCATCTGTCCAACATGCCTACATCCTTTCTGCAGTGGGGGGCCCACAGCTGGACACAGGACTCCAGATGTGACCTCCCCAGTGCCGAAGAGAGGGGAAGAATCACTTTCCCCACATCTGGCAACACTCCTGAGGCTGTTTTGTGAATAGGGAAGAAGCTTCTGGGCTGGGGGTAGCTGCCGGGCTGGGCACGGCCAGGGCAGGCGAGGCCTCTCAGCAGGGAGTTTGCACCCCAATGCAGGAGATTCTCTCCTGTGCAACACTGGTGGGATCCACAGAAGGAAATGTCACTGATTGCCACCCGCTCCATGCCCAGGAGGTGCCTCTGGGTGAACCCAAAACTGTCCCAGGTTTGAGGCTTCTGGACAAGGTTCTGCTTCCCTCCTCATCTTTCATCTCCTTCCTCCCATGTCCCAGCACAGTTGCTTTCTTGATCACTGCTGGCCGCCGGGATAGACACATCCTGAATTTTAGGCGCTTTGAGACATGGGGCTGGAAGGCACCTGCAGAGGCACATCTAGTCGAAGCCCTGCCTGAGGCAGGATCGGCCCTGTGCAAATCAGCGCGGACAAACCATCATCTAAGCTCTTTGTAAAATGACTGTCACGGCACACGCGTTGCACCTGACCCTGCCACAGGGAAAGCAGGGGGGCCGCGGCAGACAACGTCCTGCTTTTATAAAAGGTTAAATAGATGCTGCAGTGATCCCAGGCAGAGGCCATGCCCCTGCTACAGAGGAAGGCAACCCCCCCAGTCCTGACCACTCTGACCAGGGAGGAAAATCCCTTCCTGACCCCAAATGGCATGATGATAATTCATCTTCCTCCCAGTGCACATTCCCTTGTGTTTGCCAGCGTTGCATTCCCCCTTCGTCTGGCCTGACTTCCCCCCCAAGTGCCTTAGTCTTCTCTCTGGCCTCTATCCTAATCAGTCTTGCATCCTCTACGCATCTTGCTCACTGCATTTCTTTTTTTAATCGGCTTCTTTAAACAAAATCCTGCCTAATCCTTTGACCCGGCATCTCTGCTCAGAGCTGTTTGGCCAGGAATGAGAGACCGTGACATTCATTTTTTGTTGCCTGATTTAGCAGTGGCGATTAGAGCCATGGGTTAATCACCTTGTTACCCCATTTTTGCATCTCTTTTGTCTTCATCCGTCTCGTTTTCATTGGCTTCTCTGAAGCACGTAGGACCTGGAAGAGAACCAGCGATTGCTCCTTCCCTGTGTCGCGCAAAGCTGGCCTGTTTTCACAGTCAAAGGTTGTTTCTCCTGTCTCGTGCAAAGTCTTCATTCACCTCTGCCTCCAAGCACGTCGTGACCCCTTTCCCCGTGACTCGTTGCCGCTCAATCAGCAGTAACATTATGGTGCGAGAGGGTCAGTTTACCAGGAGCAGACTGTCATCCCGGTCTCTTTCCAGTGTCGTTCCTCCCACCCCACCCCAGTCCTGGAACGGGAAACGGGAAGGGGAAGCGGTAATTTAATATCCATTGGCAATTAGGAGAAGGAACAGATGGGGTTTTATGGTCAGTTTTATTATTAGGGAATTTTAATCGGGCATTTAGGAGCATTGGGGTTGCTGCTTGTGGCTGGGGAACCTGGTGCTAATAGCACCTAGGTCGCCGGTTCAGTGCCCGGTTGGACTAGATGATGGCTTGAGGTCCTTTCCAGCCTCACTTCTCTATGATATGATCTGATTAAGCCTGGCAGGATGCTCCGAGGGCTTTGTTAGTGGGGAGACGTCTCATCCTTTCTCTCCCGGAGTCAGCGGTGTGGTCGGTGCTCCCTCTCGTGTCCATCGCAAGAGCAGCATCTTCCTTCTTCAGCGGCAAAGAGCGGTCCCGATTCAAGTATTGCCATGTGTCTAGTACATGATGGGTTGAAGTCTCATGGGTCGGACCCATGGTCCCTCTAGCCTTGTGTCCCGTCTCCAGCAGAAGGATGCTATAGAGGGAGAGCACTGAACCAGATATCACTGGAGTCATCCAATAGCCTCTGGCATCCAGTGTGATTGCATTAGAGATGCCAGAGGAAACATCTCCAATGAATGCGTCCAGCCCCTTGCCGACCCTGGCTGTGCTTTCTGCCTCCACCCCATCCCGGGACAACAGATTCCACAAATTGCTTAAAAAACCCCACTTCCTTATTAGTTGTAAACCTGTTACCTGCTCATTTCAGCCGTGCCCCCTGGTTCTAGTGGTTTGGGACTTGGGGAACAACAGGTCCCTGTTGTCTTGGTCCACATCCTTCAGGATTGCATGTACCACTTAGCTAGCCCCCCTCAGCCTTCTCCTTTCCAAACTGAAGAGTCCTGGTCTTTTCAGTCTCTCTGGTGATTGCTCCAGGCCTCTGATTATTTTGGTCGCCCTTCTCTGGACCATTTTTAAGATCCGTTAAAGGAGACTGAAACTGGACCTCGTGCTGTCCACTTTAGCCTGGTTCTCCGTGCATGGCTGGAGGCAGCGAGGTACAGGGACAAGGCAGCAGACTAGGAAGTGAGATGCTCTCCTCTGACTTGCATTGGGACCCTAGGCGTGTCCGACTCACTCTCGTTCCCTGTGTCTCATCTCTGTACGTGGTAAGCACCTGGGAGCAGGAACTTATGAGGTGTCTGGAAGGCACCTGGTTCCCCGAGCTCCTCTCTGGGGCTCCCGGGCCTTGCTGCTGTTCACTGAGCAATGGGCGCAGTGGGCTGACTTGGAGAGCTGTGTTGCATAAGCTGAATAGGAGGCAATGGTGTGCAAGGAAAGCCGGTTGCATCCGGGGCTGTATTAACAGCAGCATCATTTGCAGAGTGATCTCCCTTCTGTCTTGCAGATCGTCACCACGGCACACCCATGCTGCTGGAAGGCGTGCGGTGCATCGGGGCCGAGCTGGAGTACGACTCAGAGCAGAGCGACTGGCACGGGTTTGACTAGCCGCGGCCAGGCCCCCTCCCCGCCCCCCCAACCCCCCGGTCCTTTTTCGTTTGGAAATTTAAGCTTGCATTGGGAACACAGACCCGGTGGGGACCAGCGGCAGGGCTCTGCCTGCGCGCGGCTGGTTGTCACCCATGGAGCTTGTGCTGGGAGGTCTGGGCGCTGCGCTGGTCCCTCTGCACCCAACACACACCAGAGGCCGCTGGAAGGGGGCTTTTAAAGGCCACGGGGGCTGGGGTCAGACCTCAGACTGGCAGGGTTTTCTTTTCAGCCTTAAAACTTCGCTCTCTGGGTGCCTGCCATGTACATGCCTCCTGTCTATCAGCGTCTTATCTCGTCACACAGGGTGGGTCGTTCGTCCTCCTCTCCGGCCGTCTGTGTCACACGTGCCTGGCTTGGCGTACACGCATGCTAGGTTTCCATGGCTAGGTTTCCATGGCTAGGTTTCCATGGCTATATATATATATGTAAGAAAAGCAAAGCCTGTAGAGCAAAGGAGCCTCTTCTCCGGCCGACTCCATGTCACATGTGGCCTGCTTGGTACATACATGTGCCAGGTTTCTACAACTGCCATTATATCTATCTATCTAGATATAGATATTTATACAGCTAGCTAGCTAGCTAACTAACTGCATGTATATCGAGAGAGAGATAGAAATATATAGATCTATAGATATATCTGTAGATCTAGATATATCTAGAGATATCTATCTATCTATAGATATAGATATAGCAATAGATCTAAATATATCTAGATAGACATCTATCTATCAGTCATATTACTTCAATCTACCACATTACTTTTATCTGTTTGTCTGTCTATTGTAATAGTTTGGTCTATCACATTACTGCCTTTTCTTTCTTTCTTATTACTTCAGTCTATCACATTACTTTTATCTATCTATCTATCTATCTATCTATCTATTACTTTGGTCTATCGCATAATTTCTATGTATGCATGTATGAATATATGTACAAATACATCTATCTATCTATCTATCTATCTATCTATCTATCTATCTATCTTATTACTTCTATCACATTACTTCTATCTATCTATCTATCTATCTATCTATCTATCTATCTATCTATCTTATTACTTCTGTCTATCACATTACTTCTATCTATCTATCTATCTATCTATCTATCTATCTATCCCAATACTCTCCATCTGTTCGTGTCTGTCCATCCATCCATCCATCCATCCATCCCAATACTATCTATCTATTGATAGACTTAGATTTATCTATATACCTCTGTAGATATGTATAATGGCAGCTGCAACAGTTCTGACATATATATGTAAGAAAAGCAAAGCCTCTGGTATCATTAGTATTTCCTTTCTGGCTGCCGTGCCCAAGGGGTGGGCTGTGGTAGAGCAAACCCAGCGGGTGGTCCCTGTAGCTGTGCGTGTGCTCGGATGAATCGCTGGTGTTTGGTCGCGGCGGGCTTTCCCCCATCTGGGTGTCTGCCGCCTCCAGGAAACACAGGAGCCAGGACTTGTTGCAAGCCATACCGTGTCTTGACTAGGGACCGTTTAGGAGCAGTGCCTGTTCTCTCTCGTGCGCTCTTTCTGCTGCTGCTGCCATTTCATTTTGTTGTGTATCATTCTCTGTGAGCTCTCCCGCAGCCCGGCTGACGGCTCGGGGCTGCATTCTGGTCCCGGCTGCACCCCTGCCCCCCTCGAGCTTTGGATGAGCTGGCTCCAGACCGAGTCCCTGCTCACCGCTGCAACCGAGACCAGAAACTGTCCCGCAAGGCTACGTTCCACACCCCCAGACGCCGCCGGGCAGACCCCCTTGAAAACAGCATGCATCTCAGGGTGGGATTTTGCCAGGAGGGTGAAGCCTAAGGGAATTAGGCACTTGGTACCAGCGGGAGTCGGGTACCTGATACCCTAGGAATAATGGGTGTAAACTAGTTGAGGGTGGATTTAGGTTAGATATTAGGAAGAAATTTGTCGTAGTAAGGGTGGCCAGGATCTGGAATGGGTTACCAAGAGAGGTGTGCTATCACCTAGCTTGGAGGTCTTCAAGAGGAGGCTAGATAGTCACCTGGCTGGGGTCATCCGACCTCGGTCCCCTTTCCTACCAGGACAGGGGGTCGGACACGATGACCCATTGTGGTCCCTTCCAACTCTACAATCGATGAATCTATGACTCCTCTAAAAATCCCAACCTGACTTTTCTTTTTCTTAAATGTCGTCTTGTGTTTTTGTGTTGTTTTTTTTACTGGGTTTTTTGGTTGTTGTTTGGGGTTTTTTTTTAAAGACACATGGTACCAGGACCAGAGAAGCAGTTTGGTTTGGAAAGCAACAGGAAGATTTATGTGCCTCTATATAAGTGCGTGTGCGTATGTGTGGGGTTTCTTTAAAAAAAAAAAAAAAAGACAAAAAATAAAAATCTATAAAGCAGAAGAATAAACTTGGGTCAAAACAGTCCAGGCCTCGGCTTGTCTGTCTCTGGTCAGCCCCGGGCTGCTGTCACGAAGTTGGGGCTTTTTTTTTCTTCCTCTCTCCATTGGGGAAAAACGAATATTTAAAAGTTGATTTTATTTTTTTTAAATTTTGAATAATGAGGTCCTTTCTAGCCTGACTTCACTGCAAATGTTGCATTGCTACCTAGATAGCCTCTTGCAGCTACCTGCGGGCAACGCTCGTTATTGAGTTATCTGCATCTGGGAACCCTTGTAGTGCACCAGGACCCAGCTGTGCTCGGCGCTGTACAGATGCAGGCAGCGAGATGATCCTTGCCCCAAAGCCAAGAGGGGATGAGTGACAGCAGATGGAGGCAGGAGCCGATGAGGACTAGCCGTGGGTTGTAACCGCCCCAGCTGCTGTGTTGGTTTTCTAGGGTTCAAAGGCATCAGGCTGAAGGCTTAGTAAAGCCTTTCTCCCTCCTGCACCCACTGTGGCTTCTGGACATTTATCTTGCAGCAAAGTGCACAGATACCCTGGTGATGGGCTCAGGATAGGCTAGAGCCAGGCCCATCCTGGAGATACGGGCATGTCCTGAAAGCATTGGGAATGCTATTGCTATCTGCTGTCTTCCAATATGTCTTTTATCCATTGCCCTGGGCCTGAGGTGACCCGCTTCCCACCCTGCGAGAGAACAACTCACACAGCATTAAAAACCACTCGAACCCTGGCTGTGCCCCAGGGCCTTGCCCCAGTGCCAACTGCTTGGCTAAGGGGATGGAAGTGGCATAACTTGCAATCTGTAATGCTCTTGCTTGGCTTTAAACGGATGAAGTAGCCATTTCATTGCAGTCGACCAGACGAAATTCAGCAAGGACAAGTGCAAAGTCCTGCATTTGGGATGGAATAACTGCAGGCACCGATACAGCGTGGGGCATGACTGTGACTCTGGTGGGGGCCGAGCACTGGAACAGGCCGCTAGAGACGTGGTGGTCTCCATCCCAGGAGCAGGTTAGGCACACCCTTGGCTGGGCTGGTTTAGCCAGGGCTGCTCCTGCCTTGAGCAGAGGCTGGACTGGATGTGACCCCGTGAGGTCCCTTCCAGCCTGCCTCTCCTCTGATCCTACGATGCTCCTGGGAGGCCATGCATCTCATAGGTAGGACCCAGCGGCCCGTTTCCTCCTCCAAGCTGCTGGATCTCGTACACCCAGACATCAGCTTCTCAGGGCTGCTTGTGCAGCGTGGCGCGGGGCTGCGACACGGCCCTGTGATGCTCCCGGTCCCTCACCTTTCTAGGACCCTATGAGACTAACTCGTTCATGGAGGCAAGTGCTTTTCCTTGGTCTACTTGGGTCAGAGGCTGGGGATGGATGGGCAGAGAGCAGGGGTACTAAACAGAAGGGAATAAAGTCATTTTAATACAATGAGAAAGGAAGGACACTATTGAGAGAGGCAAAGGTGGGTTGAAGAGACCAAAACAAGAGAGTCAACCCATGGAGGGACATGGGGGCTGTAAAAGCTACTCCAGGGTCATGGGACAAGGCTGGAGTCTCAACGGAGACCATGCATAACACAACCCAAGCTGCACGTGTACGCAAAGCCCTCGACTGTCTTCCCCTTTGCTGTGTGGATCTCAGCCTCTTCTATATCGGGGCCCCCACCCAAGCCCCTCTTCATCAAGACGGGATCCCCCTCCAATTTTGCAGCAGAACTAAGACACTGGCTGGTTGAGGACCCTATTCCAGGTGAAAGGCCCAACCTGCAAGACGAAAAAACCCAGTCCTCCCTGCCCCTGCAAAGCACAGCACCCTGCCTGGCTCTGCGGGAGGATATCATAGTTTATTTTGACTTCCATCGCTTCTCATGCTGTACTTCAACAGGTTATAATTGCCATGCCACCCGGGGACCCCACCACACCACCCGGGGCTCTTGTGCGCCGCACATCGGCAGGCGATATAGAAAAATAAAAATTTGGGGGCTTACAAAAAAATATATATATAGATATATTTATCGCTGCCATCTGCCAGCGGGGATTCAGGCGTCATTTCAGTTTGTCATCCTCTCGTCTCGCTGAGTGCTGTCTGGCTAGGGAAGAAGTGGCCGGCTCTTAATTCACGGCGTGTTCATTTGAGTAGCCACAGGCCAGCAAAGTGGTTTTCCTACGGAGGCATTGGGCCCGTGGTGGCCACGTGGCTGGTCACGGCAGGTGGGCAGCCCCCCGCCCAGGACATGGCTCTGAGTCTGTTGCCCCTCACAGGGATAGTGGGGGGAGCCATGCTCATAGATGGGCACGACCCAGCTGCAGTCCGTGGGTATCTGGTATTTGCAGTCCTCAGGTGAGACCCTGGGCCCCAGCAAACATCCATAGGGTGGAGAGGGATCAGAGCATCCCTGGGTTTGCTGCAATCCCTGGCCCCAGACATGCAACTGGGTCCCACTGGAAGCACCTCGCTGCGGCTGCAATGGCCTGGCACTGGGGACGCGAGCCTGCTGTGCCGGGGCGATGTGCCTGCAATGCAACAAGCCCACGACACTTATAGACTCGTAGATGAGGAGGGTGGGAAGGGACCTCAGGTGGGCATTTAGTCCAACCCCCTGCTCAAAGCAGGACCACCCGCTCGTGCTTGGGGAGGGTAGAGGAGATCTCTTTGGGCTTGGGGCTGCATCTCTCCTGATCATCCAGGATGTCAGTCTGTCCATGCCCGGGGTAGCAGGAGGGACAGTGCTGTGGGTCCAAAGCTCGTGGGATCTTGGCAAGGGTCATTCCCACCTCAGCATGCCCCTTGCTGAGCTGCATCCAGAGGCTGAGACCCCTGAGATGGATTTGGGTGTGTTAAGATGCAGCAGGTCTGGAGCAGACCACCCCTCCACCTCCCACCAAGGTCGCAGTGGGCTCCCCACGGCTTGCCCACCTTTGCAAGTCCACGAAGGGATGTTTCCAGCCCCCAGAGGGTGGGAGCAGCTCGGTCCTGCAGTGATAAACCCCCCAGGATGCAGTCACTGGCTGCCAGGTTGGGGCTGGGGGTGGGAGCCACTATCAGGGGATGCCCCAGGTCGTCCCTGCTCCCCCGGGGCTCAGTTGGACAGGAAGTCGATGGAGGCCCGAACGGTCTTGGCGGTCCTGACGTCCATGGCCGTGACCTTGATCTCCGTGTCCCCAAATTGCATGCTGGCGCGGATCTCACGGCGGCTCCGCGGGGAGGGGGACCCCCCATCCTCCACCGCGTCCAGCTCCAAACTGATGGTGCCGCATTTGCGCACGCCCGGGTCGGTGATGTAGACCACGTCGTCCGTGGCGCTGCAGTAGACGTTGATGATGATCTTCCGCTGCCCGGCCCGGGCTGGGCAGTAGCTGCGTTGCACCACTTCTCCCAGGGCCACGGACTGGTCGACGGCCACGAATTTCTCGAAGATGTCGGTGCACCAATTCTTGCCCTCCTTCACCAGCAGCTTCTCCCGGGGGTGCTTGCCCTCCACAAACTTGTTGAGCACGCCCACGCCGTAGGTCAGGGGCGAGCGGCGCACCCGTACGATGGTGGGGTCGAGGCCGAAGAGCACAGCACCCTTGAGGATGGTCAGCCCCACGTCCTGCGGGATGATCACGCGGCACGTGGCGCCAAAGGCCGTCTGCACCGCGTGCTGCAGCATGGCCGACTCGGCGAAGCCCCCCACCAGGAACAGGAACTTGATGCCGTCCACTTCGGGTTTCTTCATGAGGGCGTCTGGGGGGGAGAGAGGCAGGTCAGGCCGGGGTGGGGGGTGCAATACCCCCTCGCCAGGCAAACCCCCCCAGCCGTTGCTGCAGGGAGCCACCAAAATGCAAATGCATGCCTCGCAGCGAGCCCTGCACTGGTCCTGGATGGATGCACGGCCTGGGTGGGTACTTCTAGCAATTAGAAGTACCCTCAGCCCCCAGAAGGGGTAATTACCCTTCTTGTCCGCGGCCTGGCCTTGCACTCACCAATGTGGTTGATGATCTGGCTGATGGTCGGCTGGAAGAGCTCGTTCATGGCCTCCGCGGACACCCGTAGCATCCCCTGGGACGACCACTTCACCAGGTTCACACTGAATGGGGGTGGGAGTCAGGTCAGCAGCTTGCCCCCCCCCCACTGCTGCCCCCCGGAGACATGCATGGCTTCCCAGAGAGACCCCCACCCAGGGAGGAGGGCATCCCCAGCCCAGCCCACCCCCGGATTGGGCCCGCCTGGCCACACCTGCTCTTCTTGAGTGCGGTCTCCACGTTCTGGCCCCGGTGCTTGCGGTAGAAGTCGATGAAGGAGAAGGGCAGGGAGACGTTGAGGGGGTTGGCGCGGGACGGGGTGGCCGCCCGCTTGCGCGCCTCGAAGGCGATGGTCAGGTCCACCCAGGCAGCCGGGCGCTTGGCCTTGAAGGTAGCAATGAAATCCTCCCCGAAGATCTGGCACAGCAGCTGCTCGAAGGCTAAGTCCACACCCACCGCGCCGTAGGGGCCACCTGCGACACACGGGGCTGTCAGGGGTGAGGCGTGCCCATGCCGGGGGGTGTCCTAACCTGCACCCCCACCCCGCTGACCCCCATCAGTCTGGCCCCGGTGCACCCTGAGCCAGCTCTGCTGCCCGTCCAAGCCTGACCCCTTCCCACTGGCTGCTAGAAGTGGGAGGGGGTCTGGTCCAGAGTCCCGGGGCTGGCTGGGGATGCAGTCCCATATTCACTCAGCCCCCGGGGCATGCATGCGTTTGGTTTCAAGGCCCTGTCTCAGCAACCCTTGGAGACTCAAAGCAGCAGTGGGGATGCTTTGGCATCCCCGGGGTTATCTTGTGACTTGTGTTTGCACAGCTACCAGTGCTAACACGTGGCCGCTCTCCTGAAAGGCTCCTAAGGCCTCTTGGAGCTGCTGCGGACCCCGGTTGAGCATCCCAGCCATGAAGCAATGCGAGCGTGGCTGGTCTAGGCTGGCTGGTTGGTATCCAGACGGTCAGCAGATGGCACTGCTGGCTGCAGGATTCGTCCGGGGAGATCCAGGGTTGCTGAAACCTATGTGCTGGACCAGGCTGGGGATCGGGGAGCTTTGTCCTGCTCTTTTTGGCCCCTCTTGGCTGTTTTGCATGGGCTTGCGAAGCCAAACCAAGTGCAATGCCCCTAACCCCCTTTTCTGATCCATGTGTCTGGGGGGCTGGGCTGGGCTGGCAGGGCCTGGCAGCAGGGCTTGGAGGGTTGGTTATGATCTTTCCTTGCACAGCGTAGGGCTGATGCCCCAGTGCTTGGGTGGGTGGGGGGCACACCTGAGATACCCCACCGTGGCCAATTGGGTGCAGCTGGAGGTGCAAGTTCAATGGCTCTGATCGCCTATGAGACCCCTCCAAGCCTTGACCTTGGCCCCAGAGACAGGCTCAGCAACTCCAGACTGTCCCCAGCCCTCCCCCCTCACCTCAGCCCCCCGACAGCAGCATCACCCTCCTGTGTCCCCTACTAGCATCTTCCCCACCGTCCCCCAAGCTACCAAACCCCCACCGGAGCCCATCTGTACGCCAGTGCCCCATGCAAACTTGGGGGGCAATGAACTGGGCAGCCTCCGGGGACACTTTGCTCCTGTTCCCTTCACGTTACCATATTGCATACAGTATGCACTCCCCTGCCTCCCAAAATCAGCTGCTGGAAACAGGGGTGCATCTTATAAGTGAGGAAATATGGTCATGGCCATTTCTACTGCAAAAGCCTGGGGTAGGGAAGCCAAATGAAAGCTGAGAGGTTTCCACAGGGAGGAGCATGAGGAGCAGGCTGCCACCGTGCTGCTGCTGCAAAGGGGATTAACAGGTGCCCCAGAGACCCCAGGCCCAGGCCGTGCCCCCACTGCAGAGGAAGGCAAAGCCCTCCAGTGCGGACCAGTCTGAGCAAGGGGAAATCCCCAATTCAGCATCGGTCTGAGCCTGAGCGCAAGGGCAAGACCCTCTCGCCAGGACCTTCCAGCTTTAAGGGAAGCTCTTATTTTCTTTGTTCTGCCTTTTAAAAGCGAAGTGCATCTCCTATTTGAGGGGGTGTGGTACATGCTAAATTACGGTACCGCTTTAAGAAGCAAAGGGCGATCAATGGCTGCTGCAAGCCGAGGGGCAGGAGCCAGCCAGGGCGATGGGGGGAGATGGGGAAGGGGGGAAAGGGGCAGGATGTGTCTTACCTGAGGCTTTGTAGAGCTCCTTGAGGGTCCCCTGCGGCTGCTCGATCTGGTGCACGGTGAGATCCACCGTCCCTCCCCCGCAGTCGGCCACTATATAGCGGTCACCTGCAACCAGCAAGGGGGTGGGGGTTGGGGGGGGCGCAGTCATGTGCATGCATTGCATTGCATCACGGGCTGTGCCAAGAGCCCTCACATGGCCTTGAGCTTGAGAGATCCTGTTCTGCACCCCCCACCCCCCCGCCTTGCAAAACTGGGTGTGCAATGAATGACCCCAGCCCAGTGCAGGGGGGCTTTCCTTTGGACTGGGCTCTAGTCGGTCCTGAAGGTAGGCCCTGTGGCGGGCCAGTAGGGGGCGCTCCTGCGTTGAGCCGCCCCCCTCCCTGCCCCCGACCACCTTCCAGGCTCCGAGTGCCTCCCTGGGGTGCCTCCCGTCCGGCCGACCCCTTCCGTGGAGCACACCCGCTAGCCTGGGGTTCCCGCTGCCACCATCCAAGGCTCTGGACTCACTTCTGGCTCTGTGCACCTTGGAAAACACAGGCCTGATCGTCCAATGGGTGCTAGACCCAGTATAAGCACTTGGGGCACTTCCCCAAGTCAGGGGCTGATTAGGAAGCCTCCCTTAGTCCACAGACCTCAGGGGCCTCCTTGGCATAATTTAGTCCCACCCCTCAATAAGTCTCCACACCGGTCACAAAGGAGAACTTTATTGATGACAGGGGTAGGGCAGAAATAGGGTAAAAGGTAGAGCAATATCATAGAAATCTTACAGGAATATCAAAGGAATCCCATAGAGCAAACCAGGGTGGCTGAGGTAGCCGTTTCAACACGCATCTGAGTTACTGAAGCTAAATATCTGATCGGATCTCTAGTAGGTTACTCACTCGCATCGTCCAGAGGTGCTTGTTGTTTCCTCTGGAGGCAGGGCACTCTTGCAGCATGCGGTGATGAGGAGAGAGCCAGGATCAGATTCACCTGGATGACCGCATGGCTAATGGCTGCTCTTCTTCCTGGCCCAGGCCTTACATAACCTCTCTGACCTCAGCAGCCCGGTCCAATCGAAGCTGCCAGTGCTGGCCACTAGCCGACCAATCTGCATGGCATCCCTGGCTACCTGGGCCCGCGCGCAGGGCCGGGTCTTCCCCCC